CTCCGGGTCCTTCTCGTCACACTGCTGCGGGGGACGGTGCTTGAAGAAGTCGGAGACATAGCGGACCTGGAAAAAACCAACAGAAAACAAGGGTTTGGGGACCCCTCCTGCAGGCTGAGCCGCAGCCAGCAGCAACCAGGCAGAGCACTGGGTCGCACAGGGGACACTCACGATGAGGACGGCAATGAGAGCCCCTTGGAGCAGCCCTGCCAGCACATCACTCCAGTGGTGCTTGTAGTCGGACACTCTGGTGTAGCCCACGTAGATGGCGAAGGCGATGAGGAAGAACTGGATGGTGGGGCGCAGCAGCCGGGCCCACTTCCCCACCAGCCGGGCTTGCACGTAGAGCTGGGCAGGGAAGGGGGGGGCAGCGATCACCCAGTGCAGGGGGCACAAGGTGGGGTGCTCGGGGCACCAGTCTGCCCGGGGCTGGGACCCACGGGGGCTCACCGCCTTCCTGCAGCACAGCACGCCCAGAGCACGGCACTTACCGCCAGGAACATCATGCAGTACATCCCGAAGGAGGAGTGCCCAGAGTAGAAGGACAGTCTGCGGGGCAAAAGCCACAGGTCAGGCCATGAGAGCGAGCCCCCAGCACCCAGCTGGCCTCCCACAAGCCCCCCACCCGCTCTGCAGGCTCTGCCCCGCAGCAGGAGAGCATCGATACCCATCTGGGGCTGCCACCAGACTGCAGGAGCCCGGCACTGCCAGGTGGGAGGAGGGGACGTGTCCTGTGGCCCCACAGCTCACCTGGACTCTGTGATGTTCCTGCTCTCCCCCTGGCAGACGTTCTCCAGCTGCACGTAGACGGAGCAGTTCACCTTGGACCAGTCGGGATTGCAGACAGCCAGGAAGTTCGGCCGGAGACGACCGATCATGTACTTGGCCAGGTCAGTCAGGGACTGGCTGATGGCCGCCCCGAAGAGGAAGGTCCCCACCACCTTGTAGAGGGCAGCCAGGTAGTTGTTGAACTCTGACTTGGAGTAGAGGCGCTCCGTGTAGACCAGATATGCCTCCCCCGACGATCTGCAGGGGCCAAGGGGGTGAAGGGTGAGGGTCTTGTAGCTACCGAGCAGCCCCAGCACCAGGGGTACGGGGTGCCCCAGCTCCCGGCGTCTGCAGCAGAGGAGCCCTGGGACCCGCTGGCCACAGGAGCCCACGGGGCCTCTCCCCGTCCCTGCAGGGAACCAGCCCCAGGGGACATGGGTTTCACCACCCCAGAGCGAGCTTCCGACCCCCAGCAGAGCAGGGCTCGACCCGAGGGTCCTGTTGCGCTGCCAGGGGTCTGGAGGTGGGCTGTGCTGGGACCCAGCTCCTGGATGGCCCGTGCCAGGATGTCCCTGCCCTGGAGGGAAGGGGTTGGTGCTTCCTTACAAGGACAACGGTGCAGGTGATGGTGACCCCAGCCATGAGGCCATGGGTGATGGTGTCCGCCTTATAGGGGTAGCGGATGGAGTCGTCGGTGCAGTAGAAGCCCCGCTTGTACGGAGAGTTCACCAGCGTCAAGACGATGAAGGGCAGAGACGCTGCAAGGCAGAGAGAAGGTGGGGACCGAGGACACCCGCTCGCAGCCTCCACGCAGGCACCCAGCACCACACGATCTCCCCATCCCTCGACCCCAGGGCTCCACTCCCCGCTGCTGCGGAGGGATTCCCTCTGGGGACACGGTCCCAAGACACTGGCACCCAGGGCAGGAGGACTCACCCCCCCCCAGCACACCGGCCTGACACCGATAGGGCCCTATCACAGCTCCCAGCTGCCTGCGG